AAATATATGTTATTATAAAATTAATTCCAAGATTAAACTTTTTTTTTTTTTTTTGAAGATATAATGGTTACAATTAGTTGATAGTTAAATAATATTTAAAGAAAGAATAAATCTCATGTAAAAAAAAAAAAAAAAATAAATAAAATAAAAGAGGATGATCATTTGCAAAATGATTAAAAAATTATTATTTAATACATAATTGAATATTAGTTTTAAAAAAGCATTTAAAATCAGTTATGTCAAAACCCATAAATAATACCTCTTTTGATTTATTGTTAAACTGTTCTATAATAGTTTTTTGTGTATTTAAAATCTTGGAAAACTTTTTTCAAAGATAAGGTCCACGATATTTAATTGAAAATGAAGTTAATTTTAAATCATATAATGGCACAACAAAATTATCTGAAAATTTTGTGGGGTTTTTATAAACCATTTTTGTCAAAATAGGATTGAAATATTTCAGGAGATAATCTTATTTTTGTTTTATACATAAACTTGTTTTATACATAAACATAACATTTTTATACATAAACATAACATTTTTATATATAAACATTTGTTGTATACATAATCATAAAAAATGAATAAAACATCAACCATAATTTTATCCATAATTTTATCCACAAACACCATTGTTAACACCTGGCTCATTTTTTTTTTAGAGACCAGAAGAGTCTTATCTTAAATTTACTCAAAGAAATTTAATTAACGATACTTAAGAATTAATAATCAATATAACAAAAAAAATGCATTGATGTTATGATGATAGACAATGATGTATTACTAGATGAAATATTTGTTGATCGAATATATAGTAGTACGTTGAGTGAGGAACAGCGAATGAAAATGGCGTTATGTAATACAACTTTCATGTGAATACATCAAGGAACAACTCATTATCAATCAACCCTTATCAAGCTCAACATCAGAAGATGACTTATATTTTGAGAAGAATCTTGTTATTCAAGCATATAGTTATTGTAATAAAAGTACTCTTGCTTGTTTATTTCACGGGAGGGGACGCTTATTATTCATTGAAATTTATTAACTCTTCCTACCCTCCCCAAAGATATTAAGCCCCCCCCCCCCCCCTTATTTATTATTTTTACTTGTTCTCAACAAAACAAAAAAAAAATCTGTGTAAACCGGACTTTGAAAGTTAGTTAATATACATATATCAGTACACCGCGATAAAAATGATTTAACCAGGAATGCTATTAAGAGAGATTTTAATAAATGGATCAAACTTCTTTTTTAAAAGTTGATAATAAAACCTGTTATAAAAGTTGTTAATTTTCTTCTGAGAAACCTTTTTTATAAATTGGAGGTTTTATTCCCTCCCTCCATTTATTTGAACTCGAGATATTTTTCTAAAGAAACCTCCACCTGTTACATATGACAAAAAAATTCTTTGCCCATCTATGAATACAACTTCCAGTTTATTGAATTGAAAAAAAATTCTATCCACCCTTTTATTGCGACTAAAAGGTAAAGCGATATTTGTGGATTATTTAATCAAAACTTGAATTACATCATAGTTACTTTTCAAGCAATGTTGTCGTAGCCTTGAGCATAACCAATTTTAATAACAATCTCTAGCAAGTAAGTATTAACTTTGCTAGACCAACAGCCAATGTATTTTTGAGAGCTTTTAACTTAAGAAATTTTTTTACGATCTCGCTTAGCTAAACTTTGTTAAAAAGCAAGAAACACAAAATTAATGAGCTGTAAAGATTAACACAAAATTAATGAGTCAGCTCGCTGTGGAGATTAACACAAAATTAATGAGTTAGCTCGCTGTAGGACGAATTGGGAGTGCTGTCAGTGATGATAGTAGACTAAATTGATTTCTTGTCTTCGTGAAAAACTTCTCGAACAAACAATTTGCCGCACTCCTCAATAAATCCATTTTATTATTACTAGAACAAGAAATATTGTAACCTTTCTATTAGCTATCTTTTTAAAAATCTTAAAGGTAGTTTAAAAAAACGAGAAAAAATTGAAAAATCAAAATTTGGTTATTATGAAATTTTGTTATCATGTAAAAACTTTACTTTTAGTTGCAATAAAATAAGTTTAAATTTTTACAACTTTTTGGATTTTTAATGAACTTTTATATTACATTTGTTTTGTCTCATAAACTGTGATATGGGGCTAACTATTTTATTTGCCCCTCCCTTTGGACAGTCCAAGTAGTACCTCCAGTAACTTTTAAAACCCTTTTAAAAAAAGTTAACTATACATACTTCACATAGTCGTCAAATGTCGTTTCTTAAACTAATACTCAATATTTATTTACTTTTACCTATAATAAACAAAAAGGTTGGACTTTGAAAAGAGTTTAACATTTCTAATATTGGGAAAATTCAAGAAGAAAATTGTATTACTCAGAAAAACAAGCTAATCGGTACAGAACAATTTAAAACGTCGTATTGACGTCTAATTTTTTTTTTTTTTTTTTTTTGTTTTACAACTTCTATAAATTTACACATCGTTACGTTATAACTACATGACATAATTTAATGCAACGTAAAAAATATAACGTAATAATACCACGTATAACATATCATATAAAAATTATAGCGAAAATTTATAGTGTTTCTTATCATAAAAATTACCAGTATTTTCAAAAAATAAAAGAATAAATATTACAAAAGTAAAAAAAAAAAAAGAAGACAATAAATTTTTTGTTACTTCAGATATATAGATGCTGTTGTAAAGGAAAACTGGTAGAAGTCTATAAAGACTTATCATCTAGTACCTCTTTAAATGGTTAAACAAGTTCTATTTCCTTTTTATATACAGTCAAAAGTGATTAAAAAATATACAGTCAATGATACACATAAATATTTTAGCATAGTTTTACATATCGATATAATTGTTGATATTAAGTATGTGATGTTTGAATTTATTTTTCAAGATGGCAGGATTGTTTAATACATTAAGTTCCATATTATTGAGTAGTAAGAGGTCGTCCATAAAGTACGTACGCTTATAAGGGGAAGGGGAGAGGTCTTTAAAAAGCGTACGAAAGCGTATGGGAGGGAAGTGGGGAGGGTTCAGTTTAAAAGTACGTACATCGATTTACTAATTAATCACAATTAACTAGCTAATCAATAGAAAAGGTAAGACTCTGACTAAATATCCTAGTTTGCCAACATAAAAAGGTGTTTTGTATAGGGAGTAGAGGCTATAGTTTACGTCATTGTACACACGTGAATGGATATTTGATGTTCCAGATAGAACAATTTCACACGTTGTGAAAGCTCCAAACTTAAGTAAACCTTTGCCAAATGCGTGAAAGTGTTCTATCTAGAACATACAAATCCTGCGGGCGCCAATGCCACCCCCTTTATACTGCCCCTGAGTAAAGCCTATTTCAGGCAACCTATTTTTTGAGTCAGCAAAAAGGTTTTAGCAGTGGCGTGGCTAATGGGTTGGAGACCCTTCAAAAAAAATGTGTCATTTGAGTCTCAAAATCTCACAATTTTTACCGCTAAGTTTTGCTAAAATAAAAAGCTCCTTAAATTAGCAAAAGGACTCAATATTTTCTGCCACTTTTCCTTGGCCCCATCAAATTAAGGGGTATGGGTAGCCTATACTTGGCACTGGATTTTAGACTTTGTTTTCGATATTACTGATCTCTCGTATGACTCGTTTTTTAAGGACTTAATAAATAGGGGTACCTGAAAAAAACGTTTATTTTTATTTGATCCATCATTAAAACGAAATAAAATTCCCTTATGACTCAAACTGAAATCACTGAACACTGGCCACCGTCGCCGCAGACTTCAGAAACCGCTCGACCCAGCGAAGACATTGACATTTGTAATTTAACTTTTTTTAAATTAATATTTGCATATATATTTAAAAACATTTTTTAAATTAGGAACCTGTGTCGTAAACAAAGAGCTTTTGGGTCGTATAAAATATCAAGGTACCTCCTCCACCTTTTTTTTATTTCATAAACATTTTCAGTGAAAATTTGAAGAAAATAAGTTTGGGAAGATATTTCAAAAACGTACGTACTTTTTAAGGAGGGGGGGGGGAAGAACTTAGAAGTATCCATATACAGTTTTATGCGTAAATAAAATTTTTGGCGTACGTACTTTATGGACAACCCCTAACTAATAAAATATATTTTAGGGGGTCCAGTCATATAAAGGGCCGTTCTCAAATTTAAAGCGTTTTTTATGTTATTTTTGTAACACAAGTTTTTTGAAATACCATTTTAGTCACAGCAGTTTGTATAGCAAACAAATCTTTTTTCTCAATCCTCTAAAATTATTGTAACAACTAAGTCCTAAGATTATTGCCACACCTAAGTCCTAAGTCGTAAATTGTTAAAACTTTGAGAACTTAAGTTTGTTTCATACGTCATTTTTTTTTAACTTTTTCATTTTATATTATTTATACAAGAATAGAAAATGTAAAAAACTAAATTCTTTTAAGCAAAAGTTCTTGAAGATTTGTTTTTTTTTCAATTTGCTTCAGACAGATTGTAAATATTATTTATAATAAGTTACATATGTAATGAGAACATTAACAAATGTGTACATGTTGACATAATAAAAATGATAATTAAAAAGTCTATCGAAAGATTTTCAGTACATTTTAAGCTAGCCTCTAAAATGCAAATTACTTATAACAGCTGCATTCATGCTGAGTCAAGCAACGCCTGTATAGTTGAATTCATGCTGAATCAAGCAACGTATTTAGTTGTAATTAAAAAACTTTTAGTAGTTGTAATGAAAAAAAAGTTTAGATTTTTTTATTCATGATTGGTTTAATAAACTTTTTCTTCGCGTATTTGTATTTTTGGATACTGATATCTTATTTAGAATAAAAAGAGTTATAATCATTTACCAACAAAATCAAATTAAATGTTAAAAATAATATCTTTTTTTTAATAATTTTGGTTACTTTAGAAAAATGTTTTAAAATTGCACAAGTTTATTGCAAAATCAACAAATAGATTAACGTAAATAAAAAAAATTTACCGTCAATATTGTAACCCATTATGTTTATTGCTTCATCTAAGGTGTCAAAAGTTATTATATTGTCGTCTTTTAAATCACCTTCTTCCTATAAGTAAACAATTTTCATTAAAATGTTAATTTAAAAGCATAACAGAAAACAAATAAAAAAAGTGATAATTGCAAAAATGCATCACTTATTAACTATACATTGGTTTATTTGCAAATTTCAATAGGCAAAAAACATTTACAAATAGAACTGCAAGATAAGATTCATATTGTGTCCGAATGTCATAGAACAGGAATTGTACCTAAAAATTTTAATTTTATTTATTACTTGTAATTTATTACAAAAAATTTATTATATATATATATATATATATATATATATATATATATATATATATATATATATATGCATATATATATATATATATATATATATATATATATATATATATATATATATATATATATATATATATATATATATATATATATATATATATATATATATATATATATATATATATATATATATATATATATATATATATATATATATATATATATATATATATATATATATATATACAAAGTAGTGGTCAAACAAATAAACACGCCATATCAAATATTTATTTCTTTTATTGATACTATTAAGTAAGATACACTAAATTTAAGTTTAATATTGTTAGCACTAGAGGCCTTTCACAAAATTATCAGTGGTGCTGTTTATGTTATCATAATAATATTTTCTTATTTTTAAACAGGAAATGATAAATATCCATAGTTTATTATTTATAACTATTATACTTAGTTTTGATTTTAAACAGGTTATGCAAATTAAAAGTGTCATTTTTTTGTTTGTGGAGATGTTTTTTATGTGAATTAAATTTTTTTTTAAAATTTCATAATAAAAAAATTGAGTATAATAGTTATAAAGATTAAACTCTTGATAATTTTCTGTTTGTAAATAAAAAAATTGAATTTTCATAACATAAATAGCATTATTGATGATTTTTTTAACTTAAATTTAGTTTATCTTACTTAATAGTAACAATAAAAGAAATAAATATTTTAAATATGTGCAGTATTTATTTGTTTGACCACTACTTTATTTATATTGGTTATTACCACATTTTAAATATATATATATATATATATATATATATATATATATATATATATATATATATATATATATATATATATATGTATATATATATATATATATATATATATATATATATATATATATATATATATATATATATATATATATATATATATATATATGTGTGTAGTTTTTAGTAAAATGTTTACTTCTAACGGATATTTTTTGCTATCGATCTGATGTTCTGATCCTCGATCTGATGCGCATCCAAAGTGAAAACGAACTTCGCTAAAAAGGTTTTCATTTTTAAGTCCACCTCCCTCGAGTATAATAAAACTAGCAGGTTCAAGGTACATTTTAAGATAGTTTCGATAATTATCCAAATAAACACCAACAAAATGTACTTTATTTATAAAGTAATTTATTTTGAGTGGGCTCCAATCTGCCATTCTTATTGAACCTTGAGTAATAATATTTATTGGTGATTGTCTTTTTTCAGGAGAATTGAGACAGCTATTAGGCCATTGCTTCGGTCCTATATTTAAAATATAGTTATAAATGTTTAAAATTATATATATATATATATATATATATATATATATATATATATATATATATATATATATATATATATATATATATATATATATATATATATATATATATATATATATATATATATATATATATATATATATATATATATATATATATATATATATATATATATATATATATATATATATATATATATATATATATGTATATATATATTACTTTTAAGTTAGAAAAAAGAAATTACCTAATGGACCGTCAGCGTATGAAAACGGTTCATCCAAATATGTATAAGGTCTATTGACTTTATTTATTTCTAAACAAGTCGAAAAAAAAGTACACATTAAAATAAACGAAACAAAGAAATATAAAGATTAGACCAAGAAGTTTAAAATAATTAAACAATAAAAATATGTTGTAATTAATATTATGAGCAGTATAATATATTATTCTCTTCAACTATTTTTTTTTAAAACGTATTTACTTCCAACAAAGTTGCTGGCAACCACTTTTAAGGTGGGATTTACTAGGAAGCAAAGAATAGTATTACAAAGCAAGCAAACGATTGACAGAAGACTTGAAAAATGGTAGGTTGTATGAATCAGGAAAACATAAAGATAGGAGAGTTTCAAAGCATTGACGAGCGAGCGAAGAAAGTAGACGAATAAATGTTGTTAGAGCATGAAGGAACAGATACAATAAAAGGATGCGGTTTAGCTGAATGATTAGTCAAGCGAGAACGAGTTTTAGTTGTAGGAACTAGGCATGTTAGCTCGTCAGAGTAGTGACCATGATTTGTGAAAAAAAAAAAGATATATCACCTTACGCGATGGGAGAGCGGCACAAGCGTGGCATATAGAACAGGACCAAGTATATTAAAAATGTGTTTTCGGACCATGTCTAGAAAAGTAAGAGCGACATTAGAAGAACAAGCCCAAATATGACAACTGTATTTCATACCGAAAGAGTTCTGTAGAGGTAGAGAATGGAATCAGGAGTGAGAAAATGGCTAACACGATAAAGAGAAACAACTTTAACAGGTACTAACGATTCAATGGATTGTAAATATGGTTTCCATGACAGATCAACAGTAAATGACAATCCAAGAAGAAGTAAAACAGGTTGCCACTTATTGAGAGGGTTGCCATTTATCAATACACAAATGTTGACAATATTGCAAAAGAGTTGTTAGTATTTTCCCTCAAAATTGTTAGCTAAAAAACTTGTATGAATGGAACTTTTCTGTTTGTTTGTGTAGTTAGTGTATTTTTTAAAATCAAGTTTGTAATGGTTTTATTGTATATTACAAAAGTAAAATGAACAATTTTACAGGTTCTTGCGTTATTTAAAATAATGTGATGTCGTCATGTACGAAATTAGTAACGTCAAACTGAAATACTATTTTCAAATATTTAAATTTTTAATTAATAATAGTAGACAATAATGTAAATCAAAATTGTTAAGCCACGGTACTGACACCAGATGAGAATTAATAACAATTCATGTGATATAAGAACAATATATGTTACAGTACACAAAGATACTGGGTGAATTGTTGGTAATATAAACTATTGCTTAATAATAATAAAAACGAAAAAATCAAAATTGTCGCAACAACGAAAAACATCCTAACGAGATTTTAAGTAATCTTTAACATGTTTTTTTGCAAACTACGCATCTATTTAATCAAGTTGCTGCAAACTCAGGTAACTTTCTCCAAATTTCGTTTTGTAGTTAATACTGTTCAATTAAAAAAAGAGTGCAACGTTTAGGTATACAGTGTTTTAATAGATTTTATTATTTAGAATAAGATCTTAGTCAAATAAAATATTTATTGGAGTAGCCCACTTTGCGCAATGTCAGTTGTATTAACTGAGGTGAGAGTAAACGGTTTGGCTTCAAATTCACTTATTAAAATATGTATATAAAAATATGTATATTTTTGTTTGTTTTTTTCAGTTTTTAAAAAAAAATTTTTTTACATTATATAAATATATAAAAATTAAGAAAGAATATTTTAAAATGCTAGATTTTTTCTTTCATAAAAAATAGATTTTAATGAAGAAAAAACCCGTTCGCTTTCCCCTAATTGTTAGGGAAAAGTAAACTAGTTAAATTTTAATAACAATTGGTTAAGATAATAAAAAAATCAAATTAAATTAATTAAAAATAAAATGAAAACTAATCATTTTAAAAGTAAAAAAACTTTTTTAATCAAGTATACGAACAAAAAGTAGCATAACCGTTTTACTTATTTATTTTTTTTTTTTACTTCTACCCCAGTTTATTCTATTTTTTGTCAGTTATTATTTTCAATTATTTCAAGACAATAAATGGTTATTTTCGAATATAGGTTTAAGATTTATATAAGACTATTGTTAAAATGTTTAATTAATCTTAAACGTTTAAAATGTTTTTTTTTAATATAATATGATAAGTTAATAAGTCAGGGTTAAGGGCGCAGTGTTTTCTCTTGGGGAGAGAGTTTTTTCTATTAATACCATAAAAATCTAGACCCCCTATGCCTCAGTCTCTCTATGTAGTTACTTTTAAATAACTATTTTTTCAGTCCATAATAAAAATAAGAGAACGGTGCCATTTTCCATATGATATTATTTGACAAAAATATAAACATACTTAGGTTTGGAGTTTGCACTCCATTTGAAAGTGTCAAATCTGCAACACCAAAATATCAAAATTGCCCCAAAACAGCGCATCGTTCAGAGTAATCAAAAATCAATTCTGATGTCAGAAATGGATTCTCTGACCTCAAAAACATAAAATTAAGTGTATAATATAATTATATTTTGATGTTTTCTATTTTTGCTAAATTTTGTTATATTCTGGCCCACGGTGCATTACTCAAATATCAGTGAGAGTCAAATCTATTGATCGTAAGAAACTCTTCTTGGGATGAATTTTCTAATGGGTTACTAAGAGATTTATTTATGAATAAACTATTGGTGTCATGATCCTGGTCTCAGAATTCCATTTATAGCCATTTATATTGCAGAGTTCTATTTATATCCTTTTTTTATTACAGAGTTCCATTTATATCCATTTATATTATAATCTACATACCAGGTATAACTCAGCTATTCTAAATGATAATAAAGACTGTTTAAGTTACGTCTATTTATTGATTTTACTAATGATTGTTTTAATGAAAATTTTTATGAGCAACAATTTGAAATAACCGAAAGTGTTAGCCAATTAAAATGTAAAAAGACAAAAAAACTGCAAAGAGGTGATAATGACTACAGAGTTTCTTCTGAAGACATTTACTACTACAAATGGATGGATAATAAAGCTATAAACGTTGCAACTATCTAACGTTCATGGTACAGAATCTGCGAAGATGCTAAAACGACTAAAGAATGGCACTCGGAAAAGGTTTTGGAGTTTCATAGGACACAGTTCATTATAACTCTTGGAAGACTACCAATTGTTTGCTGACCTTTAGAAGCACTAGTAAAACCACAAAGGAAATGCCGTAAAATAAAATATTCGGTTACCAACTCAATCAGATTGCAAAATATTGGTGTCTACTTTCTTATTTATGTAGATGCAAAATTACGATGCAAAGTGTGTTCAATAAACAATGTTTAATCAAGACCACATAGTGAATGCAATATGTGCAAAATTTTTCTGTGCTACAACAAGAAAAAGAATTGCTTCAAAATATATCACAATTTAAAAAATACTTTCAAACCCCAGAACTTATAATAAATATTTATTTTCAAGATTGAGCAATAAACACTAAAATAAACAAAGGATAAAGTTTTAAGTTTTTGTTTGACATTTAAAAAAAAAGCATGCTCTGTATATTTTATTAGGGTAGCTCTCGATAAAACTAAAATGAGTACGCTTGTTTGTTTGGTAATATCAGTTAACATGAACTATGTATTTGTCTTAAATATACAAAGTTAATGTTAACAAAAGTTAAAAATTTAATAAGTAAGATAAAAATATAGAACTTTAAGATACCCTGGATTAAGCATAATGGTATTCTGAAGTTCCAAGTTTATTTCTATTACAACAATAGTTGTTATAGAAATAAACTTGCAACTTCAGAATACCATCATGCTTAATGTTGTAATATTTTTGAACTAATAATTATTTTTGGAAAATATCTTTTACCTATTAGAAATTCTGAGATAATTTAATTTTCAACTTTTTATATTTTTTTAAAAAGAAATTATCGGCGATTCCGGCAACGCCGAAAAATGATTCTAAGATTAATTAGCCGACATAAATTTTTAATATATAAATTTAGATATTTATCTCGAGAACAAAGTAGGGCAGTACAGTGGATACCGTAAAATATATGGAGCTCTGATTTCAAATCATTCTCTAAGAAAAATTAACTTGGTGAAAATAAATGTTGTGTTTCAACGTCATCAATTAGTGTTAATTATTATAAACTGACAATGTAATTTATAAGTATTATTTTTTTTACTAACTATTATATTGTTATTTATTATTTTTGAAAGTTTAATAAAATGTAAATAAATCATCGAATATAGCTGTAAGGGTAGCGGAGTATACAAACCTCGACTGGTTTAGGGATAGGCGCAACGGAGTGTACATTAACTGACAAAAGGTTTTGGTTTAGGCAGAAAGTCTATTAAATAAAAAAGTGTTTTCTTTTTTCTTTAAATTTTTTCACTGCTGGAAAATAATTTATAAAAAAAAATAAAAAAGATACCAGTGTTAATTCATTTATCTGATTTGAACTGTTTTCCATATTCGCAATGCGCAGCCGATTTCCGGCAATACATACTCATACTAACCACATTACATACTAATGTACTATGAGATCTTCACTACCGCCTTTTTCTTTTGCTTCTCAGTAAAAATCCCATATTAAATTTTTCTCCCGAGTAAAAATCCCATATTAAATTTTTCTCCCCAGTAAAAATCATTACATAAAGATTAAATGCTGATAGGCATTTATTTCAAATAAATCCATTGTTTTCATATCTTCGATTAAGGCTTAAGCGTATTCACGTTTATCTTAAGAGTAAATGATCCTGCTGGCATTTTAAGTTTTGATGGTTGTGTACTTGGCCATGAAGTGTTTGCATATCTGATGCAGCAATGAATTAGCCAATAATATATTAGCTTGAGACTTTTTTTTATTGACGTATGAACTAATTCGATACATCATACCAACAGTTTTGGTTATCTTAGACTGAATATATTTTATTTGAGGAAGCCAGGGTAAATTTTCATAAATCAAAATTCCTAAGAATCTTATACTGGCTTGCCTTTCAATTAATTTATCATTTAACACAAGATATGGCAACTTAAGAG